TCAACATACATTTTATTTGATCTAATGGCAAGGGCCATGTGTAATAGTTCTTCATGGGATGGTGCACAAGGAACCTGAAAACAGCAAGGCTTTTGTTCTTGCTTGTGATAGCAATGTTAAATAGTTTTAGTATACTTGTCTTAGATTTAGTACACAAAACGTGCTAACATAGCTAAGTATCAAATTAAAGTTAAAGATTTGAAGGCTGAAAAAGGAATTATTTTTTAGTGTCTCAATTTAAATTTATCTACAAAAAGCTGTGGGAAAGGGAGCAAAATACAAGAACCTGAAAGGTTCTGTTTTTGAGAAATAATGTCCGTTTAAAAATCTATTGATGAGGAAACATATTATGAAGAGTAAATCTATATAGATATAGCTCTATGTGCCTTCTTTAAGCATTTTAGTATTTGTGTTATGCTATCGTGTGTTAGTATGATTAAATATGTCTGTGATAGAATCACTAAAGGACTGCAGTGCATAATACAGATACCTAAGCAAAATGTAAGCAGCTGTTTCTGTATCTGTAGCTGTATGCACATAGCAGTGAAGAGCACAGTGTGCCTGGGATTGCAGCAGTTTTCTGCTTCTCTACATAGCTGCATTAACTAGTAGAAAAGTAGTTCAGATAACGGTGTGCTGCACTGTAGTCATTCCTGTGACTGTCACATAGATATACCTGTAGTTGCTGTATACACCACAGTGCCATGGGTGTATTTGTATGTGCATATTTGTGTGCATGTATATATACATATATATATACAAACATAGTTGAATACTACTGCAGCAAAAATACATTGATTTAATTCTTGCTTTTATTTTGCAAGAGTGTTTAAAAGCATGACGTTTCTTGCTTTTAATAAGTATAGCACACAGTTTTATGTTAAGTTCCTATAAAGGTGTGAATGAATGATTTGGTGAGGCTGTTCAGTCACCAATTCATCTCAATGTTTTGGCAGTGATTTCCCATTTTGCCATTTTCCATGACAGTACTTGTGACTCAAATTTAAGTTTGCTTGGTACTGGAAATCTCAGTTGTTTGTAGACATGTTTATTTATGTTATGCTAACAGAGGATCTTGTGTCTGTGACTAAACAGCAAAGTTTCTATAGCTAGTAGAAGAATAACATGTCCAAGGATTGAAATCCAGCAACCATCCACAGACACTGACAGGTATTACCACTGAATATTAGCTAAAGTTTGAATTTTTTTTTGTTCTGTGTTCAGTGTTTCTAGATAAAAAGAAAAGATGTTCTAGGATCTGAATTGTAGTGTATAGTACTTCTACAGAAATTCTATTTTTATTTCTTCAGTTTTTTGTTACATGAAAAACCTAGTACTTTTTACATTTTGATTGGCATGATCTCATAGTCTATTTTTTTAGTCTTGAACACAGTAAAGCAATATTAAACGTGGGATTTCAAACAAACTCCTTTCACTTATTTTGAGGAAAAAATCCTCATTTGTGTTGTACGATCTTACAATGGCTTACTGTGGAAAAATGTTTATCATTTATACGACTTTCGCTATACATGAATTTATATCATTGAATGCACAGATTTGTTGTAAATTCTCCTTTTTATTTGTTAAGAAGTAACAAATCTGAAAAATTGAAAATCAAAATTGGTTACTTTCTGTACTGGGATAAAATTATCTATTGAAATTTCTGGATATGAGTGTAGAACAATGCAGATAAATCAGTAGTTAACAAAAAAAAGGTTGTAGCACGTTTGATTACATATTTTAGTTACTAGAATATACAGTGCTACCTAAATATGATAGGATTCTAATTCTAATTTGAATGAGTTTGGAATATAAAAATAAATTTTTAATGCTTGCAGAGCTTTCCTGCAAGTGTGCTCTAACAGTTTCAGTGTGACAGATGTGCTTGCTTAAGATGTAAACATTGCTCTACTCTTTTCTTGGTGTGAGAGTTATGCTCACAAGTCTCACAGATTTTGACAGAGGAATGGCCCACTACCAAGCTTGTTTTCCTTAGATAGGAAAAAGAAGGATGTTATTTTAGGAAAAACTATGAAGAGGAAAGTCATTATTTGACATTTCATTAACTTTATTTTTTATAATGACAAGTCTGTTGGCAGAGATAAACGGCTGCTGTGTACTTCAAAATATTATATGACTGATGAATACCTTGACTATCATTTTTTCCTCTTTAAAAATCAAATTTAAAAAGTGGTTCATATTTTATGACTTCCAGTCAGACTAGAAGAAAGTATCATCTAGACAACTTGGGAGCATAAGCACTCAAGAATGTAGTCTGAAAAGTCATTAATGTCTTTTTTAATTCAACCCCCCCCTTAGTGCCTATGGCCAAATTGTGATGCTAATGTGTAGTTGTATATTGTGTTAGATGGGGAGCTTTGCTGCTCAAGCAGATTATTGGAGTGGGATTCTTTCTGTAAAGGGGACATTTCTTGTCTGAATACCTGGAATTTATAGTACATTTCTACTGTGGAAAGGACAAAAAAATCCCAAAGCGTTAGAACAAAGAATATGCCCATTTCACTCAGACACTAATGTGTCTTTTTAATTGTTTTCTGGATGTGTATGATTAACCAGGGATGGTTTCACACAGAAGGCTGTCATTGTGCTTATATACCATTCCATTTCCTACACTGCGGGTATTCAGACGTTTGCAGCATCTAAACCTGTAACTTGAAGGTAATAACTGAATCTCAAGATTCAACTTAGACTCCAGATCCTCTGATCTACAAAAGCAACAGTGGCACCAAAGGTTGATCAAAAAGCAAAAATCTGTGTTCTCCTTCACTTACTGAAACTCCCAGTTGTTTTTTCCACCTGAAGTAAATGCCAGGTGCAGATTGCAGTAAATGGAATATTTAGATTAACTATTGAATATGAAAAATGAGGCTTTTAGATATAGTGGCACCGTGATACTCTTCAGAGAGTACAGAAAGAACAGAAACATGCCCGCTAAGCCTTAATGGTAAAAAGAAGTTTTCCTACTTTCTAAATGAGGCAGTGAGTTAGATCTCTAACATCCTAAAAGCCACTTGTTATTTAACAGCTAAAGAGAATGAGGCTTTAGGAGTAAGAAATGAGAGAGCCTTATCTTCTCATGAAGTGTTTAAGTGAATCATGGTTGCTGCTCACCTGTCGCTCTGTACGTCCTGCTGTTGGGAAGGAGAAATTGGAGATGGAAAGATGCCCACTTTTGGTAGGAGACCAGAATAAGAAAGGAAGTCTCTGTGGGCTCACTGATCTTATGCATGTGATTACAAATGATAGGGGTGGGTTGTCTGGATCTTGGCTGTTTTCTCTACTGCAGTTACGCTGAATCAAGGAATCCTTTCACATTCCCACAGTCAAAGCTATTTTTTAGCCACCGTGCACCTTTTATAGCACTGAAAACTCTTAAAAAGTTACCCAAACTAAGCAATGTTCAAATCAAAGCTAAGGTTGTGTTTCTTTGTCTGCCCGCAATGTAAAAGAAGCGAGACAGTGGATGTTTTTGCTGATGAAGCTTCCCATTCAGAAACAGAACTGATAGAAGAAGTGAGGTAATTTAATTGTGGTTTTGTTCCAGGCTCATTGTATTTTTCTTCTGATATTTTAGTGCCTCAGCTTATGTTTCTCACTGTGGTGTGTTTGCTTGTTATGAGCTTGTAGACATAGGTTCTTGGTGAATGGTATTATTCTGAACTTGTCTGTGGCCATTCCTTGTTATCCTCAAAGAATCCAGTTATTACCTCATGGAAGACATTCATTTTAATGAGCATCCATCCATTCAGCAAAGTTAGCCACCATAGAGAAAAGTACATTCTGTCTCATTATGGTGTTTTAGAAAAAAAGCACTGTTAATGACCTAAGACTCCTCATAATGAGGCTGTAGTATGTCTCTTTCTTTTTTGATACTAAATAAAGTTTGGCTTTTTGTTGCACATCCAGTCACTCTGACTTCATTGCAAAATGCACAGCACAGTTCAAGAGAAAGATCAAACGGATACATATATTCATGGTGTTTATTCTGTTGCCACGCAGGTACTCTAATAGAAGGAATATGAAATTAATAAGCAGCTTCAGGAGGGTGTATTTTTTACTTTTAAAATTGCTGTAATTTTATCGACTTTAGCACATTGCTAGCCATTAGTACTCCTTGAAAACAGAACAGTTACATTGTCAAGAAAGGTGAGATTTGTTTAATTTCTGAAAGAAAATACATGATTAATTGGCTATGATAGTAGGAGGCGAAACTAGATCATCCAGAAATTTATTTTCTGATTGGTGTGCTTTCTCTGTGTTGTGTCTCCAATGCTGACTGTTTTAATTGCTGTTTTGTCACTGTTCTTGAGGTTGAAGGTTAGATTTTATTTTTTTTGTATTGTAAACCAGTATTTGTCCACTACAAAGAACCTCTGCCAGTACTAATGGCATTGTAGATCTTGTGACTGTACTCTGTGTACTGCATATGGATCTGTCGCTATAGCGTAGCCAGTATTTTGGCAGACATCTTGAGTTTAGTAGCATTTAACAGTGCTATGTAGTAATTATAACATCTGGAACGTGACTGAATTTGCTGTGGACTTTCCCACAAATGGTTGTTAAAGAGCACCACCTCTGAAGATAATGCAGTCTGAAAAAAATCTAGTCATGTGAGTTAAATTGCTCAATTAAAATGCACAGTTAAGCTTCAGTGAGAATTGTATCATCTATTCTTTTCCTCCAACGTTGATGTATTAATTACAAAACAACAATATTTTTTACTCAGAAATTGTCAGGAAACAGACTATTGCATAGATAGTCATTACTGAGACACTGGAAACATTTCAGCCCATTTATCAAGAGTTTGGAGCAAACCAAAGCATACATGTTTAAAAAACTGTATGTAATCAAGAAGCGAACTCAGAAATTTACCAAAGAAAATGTGCATAACAAAATGACTTTCTCCAAACCAGTATCATGCAGCATATTTTACAACTAATAGAAAAGTCAACCGAGCTGCTTTTTGACTAACATTACAGGAATTGTGAAGCAGCAGATAGACAGCCATATCAAAGATCCAGATCAACAGAGCAACGTCCTATGCTAGAGCGGACCAACTCCCGCTCCCGATCCACAGAGCGTCCTGACTCAAACCTCATCAGGTCGATGCCTTCATTAATGACTGGAAGATCTGCCCCTCCTTCACCTGCCTTACCGAGGTGAAACAGACAAATCAATCAGACTAATCCCCTTCTGCCCCACCAGCTCACCATTTTATTTTCCCAGTAGCTAATTGGTATCGCCTCTCATCCTTAGCTGATCACTAGTAGCAATAGATACTAACCTTGTCAGTGTCAACACACTATTTATATTCTACTCTGGATATAATGGTGTGACTGCCATTTTAAAGTGTCTACTAACTATTTAACTACATTTGTTTGTGATTTCTCATTGACCAGGAATCCTAGATAGTTTCCCACATGAAGCACCTCATAACTATCATATTCTTATCTTACAGAATGAGAAATTGTTTGTGTTCATCAGACATCAGTTATGGAAGAACCATCATAACATCAAATGAAACTTTATTTTTTAAACAAAAATGTTTCTTCATTTGGACTGTACTAACTTTGTGTTTTAACTTCCATTTTAACCACCATTTTCTCTGACTACATTTTACTGTGCCATAGTCTGTATCGTTCCTGTTAAATATTTTATCTTAGTGATTGACACTTTGCAGATATCTATACATTACTCTGAGCTTAAACATAATGCAGTAAAAAGATGAGTACATTTTGGTCTAGATATTCAGCACGCTTCTCCTTATTTTGGAACTGCAGAAGACATTCTTTTGCTTTCTGAAAGTGAGAGATAGTATCATCAAATCCCCAGTGACAGTTGGTCAAATCCCAGTGTCTTTCCTCAGTTTATTACTTTGTTTATTTAAATTTCTATAATATCTTTACCACTCAATGGGAATTTAACCAAATAAAAATTGAATAAAGATAGTTGAATTTGGCCTGTGAATAATAGTATGTGCATGCATGTGTTATTTCCATATGCGCATGAATGCACATACAGTACATTTTCTGGCTTGACTGTGCAAACAATCATCTTATGGGTGCTTAGCCTTAGTTTAGCTTGTGTGCTTTGGTTTTGTTTGTTTTTTTTTCTTCTTTTTTTCTAGGGAGATATTTCTTTTTTTCTTGTTGTTTTTAAAGAATTAGTAGTTTCACTATGGGAATGCAAGGATCCCAAGTGAGCCAAAATTTAATTAGTACTTTTATCAGTTCTTGAAGGTATTTAAGGATGAATGTGCCATTTAATTGCTATGGTTTGTTTTGATATGTGTCTCATAGGTCACATCCTCGAACTGGGTCTGTTCAGACAAGTCCATCAAGTACTCCAGTAGTAGGAAGAAGGGGCAGGCAGTTACCACAGCTCCCACCAAAAGGGACTTTGGAGAGAAGTAAGTGTGTGGTTTTCTCCTTAATGACATTGCAAAATGCTCGTGGAGGTCAAGTGTGTTTCTTATTTCTCTTTGGGGAATTAAAACTCTTGAGTTTTTGTGTGCAGAACTAGGATTTGATAATATTGTATTTTGTATTGCATTTTATTATATTTTAACATCTACTGTACTCTTGACTGAATTGGATCATCAGCATTGCAGTAGTGATCAACAATATGAACTATTAGCATAATCCTGTTCCTTCTGAACTCAAGAGTTATTTTGTCATTGACTTCAACAAGTGCAGGAAATGATCTTTTCTATGTTATTTAGTGATAAAACTTCTTTCTGGGAGTTAGTAGTGTAGCTGATCACTTGTGGGCTAGATGGTGTATGTTACAGAGTACTGATATAAAACCTGTGCACCCTGAAACAGGAAGAGCAAGAAAAGAAGTAATAACTTTTAAAATAGGAAAGGCCAGCAAGATATTTCATAATTCATGCTTTAATGTTACTGTTGTTGTGCTGATCTTTAATGTCTCGTAAAAGCACTGGTCAATGGAGGCATCTTCCAAAATGTTTAGAAAAAGGACTGTAGACATGTTTTTGATAGCAAATACATTTTCACCTTTCCACTTTCAATATCTAAATGTGTCGTGCAAAATCAGTTTAAATGGTCATATGCGCTCCTTTTCTATTTTTTTTTAATCCTTCTGAACATGTATATTGTATCTTTTGTAAAACTTATGTTGTTTTTAACCCCTGTGCTTTGGTTCCCTTTTTTTGTTTCTTTTTTGTTTTGTTTTTGTTACTTTCCCTAGACAATGGAGACAAGGAGATAGAACCTTATGAAGGTCTGTACATAAAGGAGGGTTCGTTTTTCACCCGAAAGCCTTTGTGAGAGGCTGGATTGGGGAAAAATAAACCCAACTGCAATTGATGTTACTTTATTGCATAGACGTAGTCAGAAACATTGTGATAATTGTTCAGTCCTTTTTATATTCAGACCTATGACTCATACATATTATGGGATTCTAGATGAAAAAAGAATGAGTGGAATTATCTGAACACAATAATCACTGAAAAGTACCTAGACATATACCCAGTTTTAAAACAAAGGATTTACACTAAACAAGTAAGACTACTTCAAGTTATATGAAAGCCAGTTAATCTACATAGTTGCATCTTTTCAGGATTAGTACTTAATGCAGATACTGACATCTAAGTACATGAGGCTATTTAACATGTTTAATGTCAACCATGCACTGAATCAAAACCACGTTTTTATTGCAAATGTAATTTATGTAATTGCTCAGTAGATTTTTTTTTAAGAATATAGGAGTAAAAATTAATTAAATCAAGATAGTCTTTTAAAGAAAGTGATAGTACTTCCTCTTAAAATTATATTCCCTTATATTTTTTACAATTGAAACCATTTAATTTGCTTAACCACACATAAGATATCAATTGCAGTCCTTTGTTATATCACTGAGGGTCTTACATGTAGTATAACTGTATTTGTCTCATCAGACTTTTTAATTTAGTATTTATAATGTTTATGGTGCTTATTTCCATTTTGGAAGCAAAACTTCATGACAAGAAACTGTTTTCTCAGATCATCACACTGGTATATTCATTTCTCCGTCGTCTTATGTGTTGTGAAATGCTAATATGAAATACAGTTAGATGTGCCAGGAAATAATCACATCTAATCACCTGATATTTACTGTCATTGCTATACACGCTTTCATGTTTTACCACTTACCCTGCTCTCTGCTTAGCATATTTACTTAGACTGTGAGCTCTCCGGGGCAGTTATTGTGAAGTACTGTATATTTTTACTATGTTTGATTAGAGAGAGTAGCAATCTTATTTACAACATAGGTTTTGTAGCGAGAAATACAATAAATACAATGAAATAATTATTTTTTATAGGATTGCTAGAATTAATTTCTCTGGTAAGTACTGATGGGACTTGAGAAACTCTGTTTGTGTTTACTCAAAGACTGAGTAATATTTTTCCATACCTCTGTCTAAAGTGGTCTTTTTGGAAAATACGGGCAATGGAAAATTTTGAAATCCACAGTTAGCAGAGTTTCAAAATGCAATCAGTGTCACGAGAGACTCAAGCCACAGTACCTAGACACATTACATATTTTATTTTACATATATAAAGGTGTTGTTAAAAACAGAGTCCATAGTTTTCCAGCTTTCACACAGTATTCTGTGTAATTTCCTGTCGTGAATTAAGAGATCATATTCCAATTACAATGTAATTTTATTCTGAGGCCTTTTCTATCCATCTTTAGGATTTTACATTTTCTTTAAGGTAACTAATCTTTTTCTATAAAAAGAATAACCCTCTACAGGAACAGAAGATTACCTAACTTTTAGCAGTGACAGAACATAATTACGATTAATAATAGTTTTTGACTGTTGGAGAATTGCATTTTACAAAAGGTTATTTTAAGCAATGGAAGTGCAAGAAAAAAAAAAAACAACAGAAATTTGGTAGATTTGAAAACGCTGACTTGTAAAGTGGTTTATGTTATTATTTAACAAATAAATCAGTGAGTAAATCTGAAAATCTTACAGACATTTAAGTAGACTTGTATGTGTTATTATATGATCAGCTGATAATCTGAAGAGTTATCTTAGTAAGAAAAGTTGTACTAGAAAATGTCATTGTCTCAGAGAAGTAGTCCCTTCTGTTCTTACAGAAGCATATAATTAACCTAAATGAGGGAGAGGATCTTTATATTGCATGGAAATATGCTGGGAAGGTTAATCTTTCTGTATTTCAAAATGAAGGATGTTATTGTTGACAAAATTAAGTCACAATTATACTGATGAAAGGAGTTAATTAAATATATGTTTTAGACAAACAATTGTTAGAAGCCATTTGATTTTTGCAAAAGAACAAGAAATACTTCTGTAGCTCCTACGTTATCCTCATTGAATTTGTATAAATTTGAATAATCTGTTATATCGCTGTGATTGCATAACATTTCTTAAAATATAGTGAAAGTACTGGCACTCAGGTAGAAGTGAAGAAGCTATTTGTAGTTCAGGAGATTTCTTGTTCCAGTGCAGTATTCCATCTGAGAACCGTGCTTACAGCCATGTGACTTGAACAGGAAGGGAAGGAAGCTGCAGGAAGAAGGGCACTTGTTTTACAGATTAGGATCAGAATTTAATGAAATTGGTTTTGAGATTTAGTTCAGTGAACTGCACGTGGTTGCAGATCTTTGCTCCAGGACATCTGAATTTTCCCATTATGCCTTATGTCAAAACTCCAGAAGAGCTAGAGAAGTTTATTTTAAGAAATCTATCCAGGTAGCTATGAATGTCCATTCCTAACAGTAGAATGTTAACACCAATGCCTTCTTCTCAGTTCCCTTCATTAGCAGAACATGCAGGTATGATTAGCTATATTCCATTTACAGTCTTTTGTCGTGAAATAGTGGCTAATTCCTTAATCAGTGCAGCTGCCACACATTCAATGTCAGATCAACCTGTTCAGAGTCACTGTATGTCTCTGAAACAGGTATCAGAGAGCTGGAGCACCTCACCAATGAAGAAAGGCTGAGGGAGTTGGGTTTGTTCCACTTGGAGAAGAGAAGCTCTGAGGAGAGTAGAGGAACAATATTATTAAATTGAACCCCATTTTAGCATTGAAATAGTTATATACTTCTTAAATGTTCTATATTACTTGTATGATAGACAGTAAGTGAATACTGTAATATTTATAACCTCTAAGTGTTATCAAGATTTTTTTCTCTCATTTGTGGCCATGTATTTCTTCTTCCTAATGCTTATAGAAGAATGAACTGCTTGCTACTAATTGAAGTAGGTCAACATAAAGTGATCTTAAAAGTATTCAGTATTAGCCCTTTTGATTTGCTGTTAATTACAAGCCAAAGTATTTTTTTTCCTGAAGGAGATTTTTCCTTTTCATTCTTAAGAATAAATATTACCATTTCTTTCTTTATCTCTGTTAAAAAAAAGCCCACATCATCATTCACTCAGACAAAAGACTAGAAAATTACGTCAAGCCATGCAACCATGATAAAACTTGAAAGTATAAAATTGAAGTGCTGAGAAATTTAGCAAATAGTAGAGCTCAGACAGAATTTGCTGTTCTATTTACGCCTTTGTGGTTCAGACTATAATTACATGATCTCATAATAATCTGGTGTCTTGGGTAAGTTATTTCAGAGACCATTAAAGCTGGCATTAATACTTATTAGCGGCCTCTCCTAATTTCAGATATGGGTGGCCTTATTCCAGAATAAAATTACCTACAAATGGAATTAACAGCAGTAGATGATTAACTTTAATCAGAGATAGCTGACAGCCATAACTCCTACATTTTCATGTTTTTGAAAAGAAAATAGCTATACTGACAATTGTACTGTTGTATGGAATGTGAGTTGCTGAGATAGAGTGATAGTTAAGAAAACAGAGCTACTGTTTACTACTATTTTCTCTCAATCAGAGCATTGTTTCCTGTGAACTGAGACATAATTTTGCAAAATGGGAAAGAATTTTACTTTGTGTTTTTCAGTGATCTATCATGGCTTGATGGAATGTGGAAAAATTACAGGGAACCTGTATTCACACTGGTCTTAGTTCTATTGTATTCCATCAGCTGTGTTTTCACAGCCTTTTAAAAATACATGGCATACTGGCAGTTTGCTTTGTATGACATGATTGATCACATATATATCAAGTAGGACAGGAACCTGGACTAACTTCAGAAAGGTTAAGAACTTCATGACTGAGTCAAATTGCAGAATAAAAAATGCAGAAATATCTTTGCGCTCACTCCCTTTTTGTGCATGTCTTTCTGTGGTATTGGCTGTGCGATGCTAGTTCTTGCACAGGATAACTCTTGCATTATGTGTACTTGACAGCAAGCGGCTGCCTTGCATGAAGCTACCTCGAGTAGTTGATTTCTCCTGAGAATTTGCAAAAAATATACCTTTGTGTTTTACTTGTGGATGCTTAGTTCACTTTCTGGGGGAGTGGCAGGTTTCAGCCCCTAACTGCTGTGAGGACTATTAAAATATTTTATTTGTGTTAGTACAATTTCCAGTGAAAAAATAGAGGAAATGCTACCCATAACACAAGGCTGATGATTACGTGAAAGGTTCATAAGAGCCATAAGTAATGGTTCATACTTTGCTCTTAGAATGCCAAAAGGAGGAATTAAACACTTCTGTCTTCATACCATTTGAAGGTATTAACTTCTAGGTTTTGAGTCTAGCAAGAGCATAAAAAAAAACAATGAGCAAACAGTCATACAGCTGTGCTCATGACAACCATGCTTTATTTATATGCTGGGGTACAAAAGTGCCAAAACCATTTTGGTTCAATTCCCATAGAAGAATAAATTGTGGAAAATGTTAGGCACAGCATTTATATGTGACATTTTTTTTATAAGAGAAGTTTGACTGTAGACATGGTATGTCTACTGAGTATTTTACAACATGGACAAAATTTCAATTAGGATTTAAATGCCATGCTTTTAATACGAAATTGCAGAAGAGATATCTGGCTAGAAATTAGTTTCCATTATGTTGGCATTGATTATTACCTTAATCTTTCTCCCTATTAGCAATCACCTGCTAGAATAAGCAGTTTGAAAATTTTGATTGCATGCAAGCTAATCCTGAAGTAGAATAATTCAGTGACTTCTGTAGTTACACGTACAAATAATGAGATAACTGTAAAGAATTTGTAAAAAAGAGTACGAAAAAAGTCAATAAGAATTATAATCTGAATATTGAAGAGCTACAGTATATTACATCAGTCAGAACGTGCCTAATAAATGGCATTTAAGTGAAAGCAAGGTTATGCTGCACAATTTATTCAGCTCAACTTTGTGTTATTTCTGCT